AAAACCCAACAAAACCAAGAGCTATTTTCCTGAAAGAGTAAAAATGGACAAACCTCTGGCCAGGCTCACCAAGAATAAGAGAGAAGACCCAAATAAATAAAATAAAAATGAAAGAGGAGAGAAAACAATTGATACCAAAGAAATTAAAAAGAAAAAAACTTAAGAAATACTATGAACAATTATATGCCAACAAACCAAAAAACCCTAGAAGAAATGGACAAGTTTCTAGAAACATACAGACCATGAAAACTGAATCAAGAAGAAATAGATAATTTGAACAGACTAATCACTAAGAGTGAAGTAGAATCTGTAATTTAAAAAACGCCCTGCAAGCAAAAGTCCAGGAACTGATGATTTCACTGTGGAACACTAACAAACATACAAAGAAGTGCCCATATCAATCCTTTCCAGACTCTTCCAAAAGATTGAAGAGAAGGGAAAATTCTCAAACTCATTCTATGAAGCCACCATCACCCTGATACCAAAACCAGACAAAGATACTAACAAAAAATAAAAATTGTAAGTCTATATCTTTGATGAACATAGATGCAAAAATTTTCAGCAAAATATTAGCAAAGCAAATTCAACCACACACAAAAATGATCATACACTACAATCAAGTTGGATTCATCCCACAGTCACAAGGATGGTCCAACATATGAAAATCAATCAATATGTTACACCACATCAACAAAAGAAAGGACAAAAAACACATGATCATCTCTATAGATGCAGAAAAATCATTTGGTAAAATTCAACATCTATTCATGATACAGACTCTTACCAAAGTGAATATAGAGGGAACGTATCTCAGCATAATAAAAGTTATTTATGACAAACCCACAGCCAACATAATACTCAAGAGCAAAAAGCTGAAAGACTCCTCATTAAAATCTGGAACAGACAAGGATGTCCACCCTCACCATTGCTATTCAAGATAGTATTGGAAGTCCTCTCCACAGCAATCAGAAAAGAAAAAGAAAACTGAATATATGTATGTATATGCATGACTGGGACATTGTGCCATACACTAGAAATTGACACATTGTAACTGTACTTCAATTAAAAAGAAAAAAAAGAAAAGAAAAGAGATCAAAGTTGGAAGGCAAGAGGTAAAATGGTCACTATATGCGGATGACATTTCTATACATGACATTTCTATGCATAGAAAACCCTAAAGACCCCAAACAAAAACTACAAGACCTTATAAAATACTTCAGCAAGGTAGCAGGGTGCAAGAGTAACATACAGAAATCTGTTATGTTTTTAAACTAACAACAAAATAACAGAAAAAAATTAAAAATTCCTTTTAAAATCACATCTATAAAAATAAAATACTTATGAATAAAACTAACCAAGGAGGTGACAAACTTATATGTTGAAAACTATAAAACACTGATA